CAAAACACTATTAAATTTGAGCAGGGACTAGAAAACCCTTCCATTGTGGCTATAGATCACTGTTCTGCATCTTTACTATACTAGAGTTTTTTTTTATGTATAACTTTGACTCAGTTTGAATGGACTAAAATAAAGTGGAATCTTGCTAGTCCATGATATAATAATATTAGGAACTGATCAATTAGGAAATGTTCCATAAATAACTTACTAGTAATTATAAAGTGGTGAATTTTGTTGATGCTAGCTTAAATCTGCACTTATTTTACTCCCCTACTTTCATTTATTAATTTTACTTAATGAGTGTATTTGAATCTAACATAATAGCATGTTATAAAAAGTACTAATTTATTAATATCTCTGGTCATATTTTAATGTTTAATGCTACGAGATGAAAAGAAGTGCATTTAAAATTTGTTTGCCAGCCTTACTGTAATCTCCCAATCAATATCTGATCTTCCTTTATCCCAGTACCTAGAAATTTTTGTCTCCAACAAAATTTTCACTAAATAGTTTACTCATTTACTTCTTTTCAAAAATTTATTCAGATTCATTCAGAGATTTTCTGCATTATGGAAAGATGCTACATTAAGAGTATTATTCAGACTTTCTACTGGGGTAGAGTTATATTTTTGCCTGAAGCTTTTTTCCTACAGCTCATAATACTAACTTAACTTTACCTATATAACTTGTATCTTCAGATATCTGAGCTCCTCATAAAGCTTTTAGAATGCACTTAGGAAGCAATTTTCTTTATGCCTATGAAAGTCACACTACAAAGAAGTACATATCTCTAAGTGTTAATGTTCTCTAGGTCTCACCAGGACAGGCCATTTTTATCCCTTATCATCAATATAATAGTACAAAAAAATCAGGTTTTTGCTGTTCATTGAAGCTCAAGACATATATTGTCCATTTCCAATGTGAAGCAGATGTGGTTAAGAGCATTGAAGAGGGATAGAGCAATTGTAGAACTCATAATGAAAATGAAATCAGGTTACTCTCTTTCTACCATAGTAAGTGGTATTGATTCACAAAGATGTACCTGAAGCATAGATGACGATTATAGTTTTAATAATGTTAAAGCGTAACATTTTTGTATTGCAAATAATTAAAATCATCTTTGAATGATAATTTATCTGTAGCAAGATGTTTTATTGTGATATTTTCACTCATTAGCACAATGTACTTTGAAAAATTTCACCTTCTCTGCCATGTCTCCATTTATCCCCTTCCTCTTAGTCCCTTCTACAAATTGTATTTGTGAATAATAGCAAAGAGCAAAAGTGAGACTAGAAAGTATGTCTTCTTTAAAATGTCAAATATTTTAATGGAAATATATATTCCCATATTTCAAACTTTGTTCCACACAGTTCCAGAACAGTTAGCTTTCTTATTAGTCATAACTCCTCATATTCATTCTAACAGCAGATAATTTCTTTGACTATGTTGGGAAGAGCTATGTAGATGAAAAAGTACTGATGAGATTTGAGAACAAGTTTCCTCATGATTATTGAAAATCATTGATTTTCTAATTTAATAGGAAAATGTTGTGAATCTGAACCCACTACAACACATGAGGAGAATTTGACAAACTTGCCTTTGTTGGAAATATTAATTATGTATCTTCATCATTTCAATCACTAAAACATAGTTTTGGAAAAGATATGCAGTCATGTGCCACATAATGTGCTACATACATGTGATGGTCCCATAGCTAATAAAATTCTGCAGATATAAATAATGACATTTAGATCATCTAAATTTGTTTATATCATCTAGTCAGTCATTTGCATATATCATCTAGTTTTAATCATCCAAGTTTGTGTAAGTATATTCTAAGCTGTTTATGAAACAAAATTACCTATGACATTAGAGCATATTTTTTCTTAATACATGGGTGCATAGTCTAAATAGAGTCAGGTAATACCTTTGAGCCCTTTGAGCAATATTTATACTTATAAACGTTTTTGAATGTATAACCAAATGCTCTTCCTATATATTCCTACAGATAAACATTTGTTATTAAATTTATTATTATTCAATTTATATACTACAGCATTAGCATGTTGTTAGGATAAATATAATATAAAATAATGTTATTACTAGATTATTAACATATTTTAATATATTATTAATATATTTTTAGCATCTCATTCTGTCTGGATGATGTCATCATGAGAACATAATTCCAAATTCATTTAGAAAAACTAATAAAATATATAATCCAGTAAATACTTTTGATGAGAAATGACTGAATGCCAGAATATGAAAGAAGGCATGCCAATGAATTAAAAATATGCTACAAGAAACATGGGATTCTGTTTATCAGAGTGAAATAGAAAAACATAGATTGAAGAGAAAGTATCTGAAAAATAGAGATGGAGATAAAATTACTTTTGATGTATAGAATGCTATATAATTGTAATAAGATGTATATAATGCTACTTGTTGAGAGGAAATAAATTGAAGATAAGGAAGAAAAATGCACAATAAATTTAATGGTATAGGAGTCTATAGTCCTGGCTACAGACACACATACACATATAACACAGAAACATAAATATTATGGTGTGTGTATGCGTGTGTGTGTGTAACAATTAGCAGTATTCTTAGTACTAACTCATGATCTCTACAGCTCTCGGGAACTGTATGCATAGCATTAATACTGTATGCACAAGCATTGGTACTGTATATAGAAGGATTAAGTTTAGAAGTGAGATTTGGAGTTTTCTTAGAAATGTCTTCTAGTCTTGTTAGTACTTTGTAGAAACATAAATTTTAACCAATAAAAATGTGTGCAATCTGCAAATCCTGGAGTAAAATTTAGTAGAAGAATTAATTTTAGAATTTCCTGATTGAAGCAATATTAATGATTTGTTTCACTAAAAGTGACTATAGAAAAAGGGGTTAAAAATAGGTAAGCAAACTTCCAAATATTTGAAGGTTGTACTGGTATGAAATAGATATTTAGAAAAATGTCTCAAAATTCAAAGGAAACTCAAGGCATAAAACTGTACATTTGGTATTATTGTCTTATCAGAATATTTATGATTGAAAGCATGGTTATGCATAAGAAACTGTAGAGAGTCTAGAGAAATTTTATCGTGTCAAATTGCAGAGCTTATACAAGGCAAACAACTGTGAAGAGACTGTATAGAATGGAAGAAAATATTTGCAGATAATAATCTGACAATGAGTTAATATGCAGAAACTCAAAAATCCCTAAGTAAACAGAAATACTAAATGTGTAAAAAGACTTTAAGAAAAACTATAAAGCAGACAAATGACCAAATGGGTATATGAGAAAGTAATCCATCTATTTAAACATTATGCATTGGATATGCGTGTCAGAGCATCACAAGGCACCTCACTAGTATGAATATTTTGTGTTTAAAAATAAAATAATTTATTTAAAAATAAAACACACACTATGAAAACCCAGCATCCTTGGTTAAAGCCTGCAATCCTAGCTACTGAAGAGACTGATATCTGAGGATCATGGTTCAAATCCAGCTGGAGCAGAAAAGCCCATGAGATTCTTATTTCTAGTTAATCATCAAATAGCCATATTTGGAACTGTGGTTTAAGTAGTAGAAGAATATCCTTGAGCAAAGAAGCTCAGGGACAATGACCCTGAGTTCAAGTCCTAGGACTGGCACAAAAAAGAGAAAAAGGAAAAAGGATTTTGTTATTTCCCTTCCCCTCCCAAAATTAGAAAAATATATATACAAGATGCAGGGCACTGGAATCAAATGCAGGGGTTATACCATGGGGGAAGAACATACCAAAGAAACAAAAAAAGCACACAGTGCATTATAAGTATATTAAAAACAACAGCAAGAAAGATAAAACCTCTTGTATCCTATCTTGGGGATCGTTTCACTTAACACCGTCGTATACACAGCTTTTGACCTTTTCTGCTTGTCCTAGACATATACTAGTTACTGCAAATAAGGTAAACCATGGAACCTATGTTCCTTTGGGCCTGGCTTACATTGGCCCATTGTAACAATGAGATGTACAAGCCACTATGTTGAAAACGAACTTCACAGCTTTAGGGAGTGGGGGAATGAGAAGGTGGGTAGGTGGGGAGGGAAGGGATGGTAGGAGAAAAACAAAGGAGGGGGTAACCATGCTCCATAGGAAGTGTGCCCATTACCTTACTCATGTAACTGTAATCCCTTTGTACAGTATCTTTACAATAAAAATATATATTAAACAAAAAAGAAAAAAAAAGAAAAAGGAAAAAAGAAAAACAAAATTCCCATTATGAAAAAGAAAAAAATCAATATTCAAGACAGAGATCTGACAGATAGTAACACTGAGGAGCAAATTTTTTCATAACGCATAGTGAGAAACTGGGATTCTAGCTGGTGTCTAAAATTTACCAGGCAGTTCATATCCTAGTTAGATTTGGACTATGTGGCTAAAATTTGATGAAATAAAATAATTAAATTTTCTAGAGGAGAAAAACCACAACAGTGGAACTTCAAATTGTTTTGTACACCATTTAAATATAAAATGTCAGTGACTAAAATCTAGTTAAGCACACAAAAATACAAAGAATGTTTAAAATCTTGAATAAAATAGAGATGTAGTGGTAGTTCAGTTATTGCTCAAAACAAACCTTCAAGTAGCATGATTAATAATAAGTTCAGTATAAATACTGAGAATATTAGCATAACAATGAAAATCATAAAAAATGGAATGAAAATTTCTCAAATTTTAAAGCATAGGAGTTAAAGTTGTGAGCACAATAACTTTGATTGTAGATTCAGCTATATTAAATTTCTAGTACTAAAATAAAATCTGAGCTATAGAAAACTGTGTATACTGAGAATAAGAGATCATCATTGAAACCAAATATAGGTAACATACTAAAGATGTCAAAGACCAGCATAATCATGTAATATATGTATATATATTATATATGTATGTGTGTATATTCATGTGTGTATATACATGTGTTGTGTTTGTGTATTCCAATGAGATGGTTTGAGGAAAAATGAGCCTGAAAAAATATGTATATTTCAAAACAGTAGTTAAATATTTTCTGAAATGGAAAAAGATATGTTCTTCTTTGCAGACTTGTTATGAATCATAGGTAGGATAATCACAAACATGCAATCAAAATAATAAAGAAAAGTAAAGAAATAAAAATGTTGCCTTAGGAAAAATTAAGGGAAAATTTAAGTAGCTGCATAAATGATAGAGGTAGAACATTTTAAAGTATTGAAAAAAGAAATCACTCACAAACTGGAACTTCAGGTTCATCAGAACTATCCTTTATCTTGAAGGCAAGATACATGGAAAGACTGGCTGATTGTATTCCAAAACTCTGATATTAAAGTGAATCATCAAGGAAGTTATTATGTCTGAAAGAACTTCAGATGGAAACATTATCATCCTATTTTACAGTAAAAAATTAAAAACAACCCCTGTTCTCTAAACTAAACACAATAAAAACTGTATGTTATCATTTTTATTATTTTTATTGGGCTAAAAGTCAGTCTGGTTCAGAAGCAATTGGTTGTCTCAATACAACAAAAAGTTCAAATAAAATATATTGTAAATGAAATATTCAAATGGATCTATGCATACTATTTATAATTATTAAACAAATTTAACAAGTTTTCTAGAAGTAGAATTTAGCCATAAGAATGATACAAGAAATTAATTGCATTTCTAGTACAGCAGAGAAAAATTTCCCTCTGAGAAGAGCAAATAAATGACTTCTATTTCTGACTAACAATTTAAGGAAATTTAAAATATATTAGGAAAATAGAGATAAAAGGAGTTAATATAAAAAGAACACACTCAAGACATGCATTATTAACATGACACTAAAATAATATACAATACCAAATATTTGTACTGTTTTCACAAAAATTATGCAGAAGTTCTAAATATTGGATTTTATAATGAGATAATCATAAACAAAAATGTGGAATTTTCTAGTAAAGTAGAAGTAATAAATGAGTTAATAGTATAAATTCCACAAACTATCATAAAGTTGCAGCTGAAATATACTTAAATCTTTCCTAAAACTATACTAATAAGAATAAAAACAGCTTCTTGTGTGAACTCTAAATAGTTTTCTGGAATGTAGGTTCTCAAGATCTCTGACTCACTCTTTGTTTTTTCTGCTAGTCCTAGGGCTTGAACTCAGGTCCTAGGCACTGTCCATGAGCTTTTGTGCTAAAGACTAATGCCACACAGCTCCACTTCTGGGTTTGGTTTCATTAATTGTGATAAAATTCTCACATGGGTTGATTTTGAACCTCAGTCCTCAAATCTCTGCCTCCTGAATAGTTAGGTGTTGGCAAGAAGAGTCTAACCAACTTTCCTGCCGAAGCTGCCTTTGAATTGTATCCTCAGGTCTCAGTCTCCTGAGTAGCTAGGATTACAGATGTGAGGTCATCAGCTCCCAACCTGATCTATTCTTATTTCAAACTTGATATGACTAGATTCATTACAGATCAGATCAAGCCACTTTTAAAAAATGCTATTTTATATTTATTTCTATAAATCATTTATGTATTTACATAAAGTATCATTTCCCTGCAAAGAGAAAATAAGATTTTCCTCTATAGTTTTTAACTTTAATTCTGTGTTTGTAAGTATATATGCATTTTCAAAAATAGAGTACTCAATTACCCATTGAAAGAATGTTTCTGAAGTAACACATTGCATAATAAAATGCTTGCATCCTATCAAATGCACATTACTCATTTGACAAATCTAAGCGCTAGAAAGAATTAACTCAAGATATAGTTGTAATGCAAGCCATTGAATTTTATGTCTATATCTGACAATGAAAAGAAATGTCACTTAGGCTTTAAAATGACAAAATGCCATATGTCATTTTGAAAGTCATGTTGGGATGGATTAGCAGCACAGTGTGAATCATTCCCCCTCCAGGAGAATCGATTTACCCAATAGATTATAACAAATGACAGATTCACCACACTGCAATTTACTGTTGAATGACAGAATGAGCTACAAAAAAGAGGAAATTATCACTTGTTTGCATTATCATTTCATGTGGTTTTTAGGCAATATCACTCAGACTCTAGAAGTAGTGCTTTTCCCTTCTGGCTGACTGATTGATCACTAAGATAACTAAAATTTTGATAACTTGGCTGCTGCTTCCACGTTTGTAACACAAACATTTCCATGTTAGGTCTGTGTAAGATGGTATTTTAATAAAGCTAGTACTCACCATAAAAGACATGGACAGCGACCAAGTACTGATGTCTTAAAATTCAGCTATATGTTTACTGCTAATGTATTTTACTTAAAACAAGTGGAGTTTTACTAATACTCTCAGACCTGACAAAGTCCTATCACCTGAGATAATGTTGTAAGATCAATGTAGCATCAGAGTTTGGGCAGAGGAACAGGAGTTCCACTCTGGGTCACAAGTAAGGCAAACTAAGGTAAATAATCTAAAAGACAGGTGATAGTGTTTCAAAGGCATAAAAGTTTCCAAGGGCAATGATGTGCATTTCTATTAGTGAAATGCCTGGTAGAATGATATCGAAAAGAACATGTTCTCAGAGTCAAAGCCATATGGGATCAAGCTCTGTTGCTTGATGTTGGATAACTGGCTTGTTTTTCACAAACCCTGATTTATTCCTTTGTTGATTCCTACAATCTCATATAGTCCTTTTGAAAATTAAGTAGATATGTTATGGAAAGTAAGTTCCATTTCCAGTTTTTCAGTACTATTAAGCACAGGAAAATACTCTTCACAGTCTATTAAATAAATGCACACAGTTTTTTTAGGTTGGCCACAAATTACCATCACTATTCTGTGCATGTTTTCATTCTACTTGTTCTGTAGTTTTTACTTTCAGACTTAGAGGCCCTGTCAGTAGAAAATATACTAAAATTTCTGCTACAAATCTATATAATCAGAATTTCTAAGTAAATATTTTTTAGCATTCGGTAGACATGTTAATTTTCTAGAGATTCAGAAAGGAGCCAGATTATTAAAAAACCTAATAGATATAAATTATTGCTTTGCTCACATGTCTTGCTTTTATACAAGCTTCAGCTTTGAATGGGAGTTACAGTAGCAGGATATGGCACTGGCTGGTCTCCTGGGAATTGATAATATTTGGGGCAAGCCTCTCACCTCATCACAGGTGCTGACAGAGGCTTAGCTCTTGCTGGATACCAACAGGTGCCCTCATTATAACTCCTGCTGTTGCTAACTCCACTCTGTGCTTCCCACATCCAATGTTTGGACTTTTGTTTTACTTTAGCAGTACTTTCACATGCCCACCCCACTTAATCAGAAACAATCTTTTATTTTCTGCTCCATATTGCCTTCTGGGGAAATCCTACCCCTATTGTCTACTTGCTGACAGGTTAGAAAATCTGGCCTTGAGCATTCTTATCAAATAGTCTACTTACTTAATTTGGAGGATTTCTCACTCTGTGGCTTTAGCTTCCCTCTGGGTACAGATGTGGGCCATTGACAAATTAATTTGCTTTTCATAGATCTTAATAATACTGAACCAATAACTAAGTCAGGACATGTTCTAGACAAGTTCAGATATATAGCTGAAGTAAAATGGAAATATCTATACCACCAAGTGACCCTGAGGAGTTGCTGTCTCCCAGACAGGAAGTAAACAGGTGCTGTCAGCGTCTCAAAAGTCCTACACAGCCCCTTACCTGGTAACCCGTACATTCCTTTTAATTTCTATAATAGTGTCATAAAAAAGATGATATCTCAGGCTTGTTAAAGACTTGATTTGGTCCCTGATTTGATTATTAACTAGCTTTATTAAAGTATCTCATTAAGGCTTTCCATAATGTATTTTGATTTTCTTCAGCACAATAATAAAACATTGTTCTAGTCATTTGAATAACAAATATACTAATACCTGTGAAAACATTATGCAATTTTAAGTTCACTATATAAGTATATTTAATATGTAATTATGGTTTAATTTTTTTTGTCAGTCCTGGGACTTGAACTCAGGGTCTGGGCACTGTCTCTGAGGTTCTTTTGTTCTAGGCTACCACTTGAGCCACAACACCACTTCCATCCTTTTCTCTTTACATGGTACTGAGGAATGGAACCCAGGGTTTAATGCATTCTAGGCAATCACTCTACCACCAAGCCACATGTCCAGCCCTGTAATTATGGCATTTGAAAGTATGGATTAACACAAAATATTCTGCATTTCATATATATATATATATATATTTCCAAATGTGTCCAAATAATTATTTAAACTAAAATCCAAGATGAATATTGCATAACTAAACATTGTACATAAAATGCAGTTCCCTTGAAAAGAGAGTAATAGAAATAAAAAATCATGAGATTTGTATTATTTGATAAATATATACACATTTTTAATAATTCATCAACCAACCTGTACAAAGAGTATTGGTAGGAGGTTTGGAAGAAAAAAATTCTTCACTTAGTAATAGGCAGTTTCAATGATCTATGGGAAATGATTTTAAATGTACAAGGATAACTTGCAGGTTTTGGTAGCCATGATCTTTATAATATAGAGAGCACAACTTAATGAAAATAAAATTCCACTCATCATTTACGTAATTAAATTCTTGGAATCTAAACAAAGCAAAATCAAAATAAAGATTTATTAGTCAAGCTAAGTTGAAATCGATGTGAAAAAGGAAACTCATCTGAGTAATAATATTGATGGTAATTTAGTTTTTGTCAATGAGTAGACTAATCATAAGGTAAAGCTATAGTTATAAAATTGTATTTGTCTTAATGATCATCAAAACTAGCAGAAAAACAACAATAACAAAACCCTAAACATCTTTAGCTGTCTACAAACATCGATCTGTGCCCTGGGTATCTTAGTACAGCATTTCCAAAATGGATGGTTGGTGCTTACATATGTCTATCAATTTGTTTCTCATGTTTTATGTAGCAAATGGAGAAAAGATTTATAAATATGAGAATAGTTAGGCTAAATTACTTTCTGATTTGTACAGACATAATAATATCCAAGAAA